AGATGGGCAAAACTCCTTCCTGGCACTTTAGGCTGCACTCCAACCCACATCTCGCTAAGGTCAAAGGCAGCAGCTGACCCTAAATCTCTCCATTCTAGCTTCCACCTTATCTGTACCATAACAGCATTAAGATTGGGTTCGGTGATGTTGTCATCAAGCTCCAGAACGTCATTTGATTTAATTTTTGCCGAACATTCGCGACAAATCGACTGTTTTCATCAACTTTTGATGAAAACAGTCGATTTGTCGCGAATGTTGTCTTGTCTTCTTATCAAGCAGCAATGTAAAATCAAGCATACACTCAACCCCCGACACGAAAATATCAAAGTTGTAGGAAATAAAGAAATTATGCTCTTTAAGAGCTACAAAACGCTGTCTAGCGATCTGCGTTAGGACTGTTTGAGCTTACCTAGGAGAGCTCGCATTAGTGTGTGAAGAATTGCCGACTCTGCTAGGGTTTTCAAACTCCTTTTAGTCTTCATAGGAGACTCGAGAAATGTTTGTATGAGGTAGTACCCTTAACTATGTACAATTGGTACATATGTACATTAATAGAGGTCAAAGGGTTCATTCCCTACTCACTCTACTTCCATTCTCAGTCATAGAATGCAAACTGAATGCACTTCGACCTATACAGTGTGTTTACGGGACCAACCGACGGATTCAATTTCGGAGCAACAGAGAGCAAGATTAGCCAAAATGGAGTTCGATCCGTGGCTTTTAGTCCTGGACGTGTGTGATAAAATCTGATCTGAATGGACTGCCATACCTGTACAGTTTTCTTCTGGTCATAATTATAGCGAACGACGCTCTCTAATGAGTGGCCTTAGCCACTTTGGAATTAAAAAATCAAATTTCCTGAAATTTGAGAAGGTAGACTTATAGAAATAGACAAGCGGAGCCTAGTGGCGCAAATTTCCGTGGGGAAAAGCTGAACAGAATCAAGTTATAATAAAAAGATGAAAAAGACACGGATCTGCGTCTTCCGCGTTTTACCAAAGTTATAGGGGTACTGTACACCCTCTCCACCTTATCAGCATAAGTATTTTAACTATTCGTTCGGGTATATCCAGATTTTAGGCTTTAGAAAGTAAAGAGTTAAGGAATAAAGGATAAAGCATTTGCCGTTGATCAATCCCTTTTTGGGATGCGGCACGCATTCTACTTCCATTTGTACATTCGTAGTGGCGTTTGAATGCGATGTGGCCTATACAATGACTTGCGGGGGCCAGCCGATGTACAAGTCAGTGTTTTTATCCTCCCAGACAAGTCTGGTACCAATTAACCGACCCCGGAGGGATGGAAGGCTTGGTTGGCCCGGGCGACTCACGACCCAGGATTTGATCCCGGACCGCTCGCGTGGTGAGCGCGCCACTTGTCACTACACCACTTCCGCCCAGGTCTTTAATAGATCAGTAATAACTATTAATAGATTTGATGAAAAAAATGTAAAAATAAAATCATACTAGAAGGAACAGTCAATCGATATCAGACCATCCCACGAATCGATGCTTGATGACAATAAATAAACATATGTTCTCATGTACCACGGAGTCATTAAGATTATTAATAGGGCCTCTTATATCACTAACCGAGTCAACCCTGAAATCGAAGAAGGAGGTAGTTTTGAGTCAAAGAGCGCAGGCCCGCGTAGAAAATCACGCTCCAAATCACATTCGAGATGAAATGAATTATCAAACTACAATTCTGGATGTTTCATGTCAGCTTACAATATCAAAAATAAAGGTGCTAGGAAAAAGTATTGGAATGATATTACCTATATGTTTTGTGAAACCCGAGCAGTGAAGGAGCAAACGTAAACATGAGAAGTGGCACGGAAGCGCAGTAGAAGAAAAGCTCAGAATGCAGGGAGAAGAGAAACGGCAGGGTGTGCGGTGATGAATGAGTATGAACGCATCTGAACACAGGAGAATGACTTTCCGAGAGGGTGGGAATGGGAGCGAATTAGGAATTTGTTTCGCTCCAGCAGTTCTTGTGTTGAATACATATTTCAATAATTTTAATAATCTCCTTTTCTCGTCCAAAGGTTGTTAGGAAAAAGCGTAGCAGGTTTATAAGCACTTTATCTTTTTCCAATCTCGACCTTCATTTTTTTACGTAGGGGGAAACACTTCTCAAACTTGATTTTGAGCATTTTGTTTTGTTGTTTTCAACTCCCAGACTTCTTTGTTCCTGACTAGCTGAAAGATTGAGGACACTTACTTCAATCAATCTGACGAAAGGTAGCTATTGTTGTTCTTCACAAGATTCAATTCTATAGGCGGGCAGACATGCGGAATCCCAAAGCCGATTTCTGTCGTCTCGGGTGCATGGCATGTAGCATTTCGTCTGGTTCTCTCCGCTGTAAATTCAAGTTCAACAACACCAAAACCATGAACTGTACACTTGGAGGCGGAATCACGATGAAAAGGCAGCTCATTAGTGAATCAAAACAGATAAGGCCAGAGGTGCAAGTATTAAAAAGCCAGAGGAAGACCCAGGAACCGAGAAATCTACCCTCCCCTTCCTCCTCATTGCCCTTTAATTTCCCGCATTGAAAGGCGAGTCTCATGGGAGCACGCGGACTTCCTCCCGGGGAAACAGTAGCAGGCATACAGAGAGGTTCCATCGGTTGGCGTTGGCATAGGGGCAGCGGCGCGAGTAAGCAGGGTCAACCGTCACGTTGGACCAATTTCGAAAATTTTACGACCCCTCCCCCTTCTAGAGGGCCTCGATACGACCCCCTCAGGGTTAACCCTTCACGACCATCCTCCACCACCCTCGTCTGAGCATCCAGTCACACAGCCCAACCCCCGCCCACTTTTCCCTCCAAAAATTGCCGTCGAGCGGAGAATATATATCAAATGTCAAACGGCAAAATTTTCGCACTCAACTCTCAACCCTAAATCCCAGCCTACAACCTAATCCGCTCCCCGTTCCATAAAAAAATCGACTTTCGACTAGGTATACTTCCCCATCTTCGATCTTCGATCTTATCATGGAATTTCCTCAATTGAAAACGAATGTTTCAACTTAGTACTGAAGAGCGCCTTTCATTCTTATGAGAAAACCTCATAATGACCACCTACGTTGGCGGACTTGGAGGAATTTGCCCCAGAAACATGGGGCAAATTGGTCGAGCTCAATGGGGTCTGAAGCAGTTACAATAGGCCTCCATGGGCTTGACAGATGACGTCATATTCTGAAGACGGTGAGGGCAGTGAAGGAGAGCCTGCGTCACTTATAGAGGGACACTTAGGGAATACTCTGCTGAGGAACTCCCGTCAACGACGGCAATCTCTGCGAAGAAAAAAGGGCCGAAGTCCGACATAGGCAAAATGTCTTTTTTGCCCCCCCCCCCATATAAAGAACAAATATTTTCCTGCAACACGATGGCAACAAAGAATCAAATAGTCAAATGATTAAGCACAAATTACAGCCCTGAAAAACATCTGCGATCTTGTTTTCTATTGAAAAGTAGAAGATGATGTCATACTTTGGATTTTATCATGTTTGTGCTTCTTTTTACAGCAAAGCAATGAATTTTATGGTTTCGCTGTTGACTTGAAGAGCTCATGCATCGCTAAAATATTTGTTGGGGAACGATGGATTCCTATATGTGCACAATTCCGCCATCAAGCGGGCGCTTCAGTCTGAATAGGCCCCAGAATTGTGATAGTGTCTTTGACTAGGGAGTTGGTACCCATTTGTACCACCACTAGTCAAGGGGTTAAGTAGCGAGAGCGTTAGTGTTGAAAAGCGTGGTAACGATGAGAGCTGTATCGAACAATCAACAAGCAGCGAAGGAGCTCATTTCTCGAGCATTCAACCGTTTCTCATGATTTTTTTCTTCATCACACCACTGACCCCTACCTCGAGTTCGATGAACAGCCTTTCATTCGTTGATAGGCCGAGCAGACCCAAAATAAATAAAAAGCTCTTAAATTTGATAGCTATTGTATCACTAGCAGATCTGCATCGGCCTAGGAGGGCCTAATTCCCCACGACCACACTCATCAATAGTTTCTGCTTATCAATCGGTCGCACACGTTTTTCTGTAAGACCACTAGGGGATCCCAGCCGTGGAAAGTAGAACCCCCATCTTCCTATACCTAATTCGCTAAGTATGTCTGTGCGTGCTTCGCTGTGGAGCGCTGCGTTTTTAGGAATGTTGTATGGGATGCGACCTCAAAGGAACAAGAAACCGGGCAAAATGCAACCGTGGTTCTACCAGGTAAGCTCGCGTCACTAACGTTTTTTGCCAATTTTTAAGGCTCATAACTTTCCTAGGAAGTTCAAGTAGCAGCTTTAGTCTCCATATTTGTAATCAGCATCCGAGACTATCGAAGCGCCTAGTTTTCTACAAAAGCCCATGGAAACTCAAAACAGTCCTGTGAGGCCCGAAACACACCACTGGGCACCTCTAACCAGGGTCGGTCCTACCGTTGCTACTTTTCAAAAAGTTTTTACGACCCCCCCCCCCTCCTCATAAAATGTTTCATACGCCCCCTCTCTCTCGAAACAATTTTTACCCCAAAAAATCACCGTCGAGCGGGGGGGATATATACCTACCATAAAACCGCAAAAAGAAGCCCACATTTCCCTACAATTTCCCTATATTTTACCCATACTTCAACTGCTCCCTTTTCTAGGGGGGGGGGGCAAATTTTCTCCCGCGCCGCTCCCCACTCATCACATGCAACTTCTTACAACCGAAGCAAGTACGACCCCCCCTCTACAAACTCATCAAAATACGACCCCCCCGTTGCTACTTGTAGCAACATAGGGTTGACCCTGCCACTGAGGTTCCATGCGTCATCACACCGTACCGCCCTCCAACCATCCAGTTGAGCTCTCAAAGGCGTGATTTGCAATGCAGATCAAATCCGATATAGTGACATTCATCGAAGGATAATCACACACACAGAAGTAAAAATCAAACGCCTGGAAACATTCAGCTACCCATAAGCTATTTCATGATCATCAAAAAAGAAGGGTCATAACACTGGCGAGTTTATACGGTTGGCTCCTCCTTTCCGTGATTGAACTTTATCCCATATTTTTGAACATTCGGAAAAATACAGATCTCGCTCGTTCACGACATTTCTCATCGCTTCAAATCGTTCCTCATTCCTTCGCTTTGATTTCCGAATAATCCATAACATCACCAACGGTGTCAAAGAGGTGTAGTACGGTATAAGCTGAAAAAGAAAAAAAAGCTTGCGCAATCGGATCTTCAAGTAGAGAATTTGAGGATCATCTAAGACAGAGCAACTCACGTAAGCAGCAGCGAAAACTGTACGAAATGTGATTACGTTCAACTGATTTCTAAGCATCGCAACAACGACACCGTTCGCTGTGAAAACGAACAGAAACACTGCTTGGAAAAACGATAACGGACAGAGCATTTGAACAATGTGCTGGCTTTCCCGTAGATGGAATGAGTCGCTCAATGTATATGTTTTTCTGAAATGATAAATGGATAACCAGTGAAGTGTATTGAAGATATAGAAAATCAAACTATAAAATAAAAGGATAAAGCATTTGCCGTTGATCAATCCCTTTTTGGGATGCGGCACGCATTCTACTTCCATTTGTACATTCGTAGTGGCGTTTGAATGCGATGTGGCCTATACAATGACTTGCGGGGGCCAGCCGATGTACAAGTCAGTGTTTTTATCCTCCCAGACAAGTCTGGTACCAATTAACCGACCCCGGAGGGATGGAAGGCTTGGTTGGCCCGGGCGACTCACGACCCAGGATTTGATCCCCGGACCGCTCGCGTGGTAAGCGTGCCACTTGCCACTACACCACTTCCGCCCCTATAATGCTGAAAATATAATCCTGGATGTGCTCTCGATCTCGAACCTTGTTTTTGAACCTGCAAAACTACTGTTTGAAGGTAGAACCCAGGCAGAGGTCGTGTGGACAATTTTATTTGATCTAAAGTGGACCCCTAGAACACAATCACAGATGCGGCACTCCCGAGCATGGAAATTGCCCAACAAAGCGTCAGTGCCTTCACGATCGACTTTCTTTTAATCTTGGCATTGAAGATTCAGTCTTATAGTTTATTGAAGCCTCTCCAAGATTGTAGTACTTAACAAGGCTGACGTTTCGGCTTTCTTCGCCTTCTTCAGAGCCTGAAAAAGTCGAGAAAAAGGCCCGTTACGAGGAAGAGCACAAAAGTTTGTTCTTGGGACATGCCCTCAAAGAGTCCTGAGCTCTTCTTATAAAGGCTGTTTCGATAGAGGCTTACTGAGCCCATGCATGGGCCCATGCGACGCAATAGGCAGCCGAAGCCGATGCTTTACCGTTGGTTTTATGACACTAGGGGCAGAGCTGGTACAGCTGCAAGCAAAGCCCTATGCTTT